CGCTCGTTCTGTAGTTTAAGGATTTACACATTCACTGTAGCGTTAAATGGCACTAATGCACGAGGATGCTACCTGTCCTCATACTGCGTCGATTGCTGTTGCTTTTCTTTGCTTGTCATATTCCTGTCATATCCTTTTCATTTGTACTTTATTATCTTCATTGTTCGTGTGGAATAATAATAGGACAATGAAGAAGAAGCTGAAAATTTTTTCGACTTTGACTTTGACACTCGCCCGCATTTTCACTTCTCAATGCGCTTCAGTGAGCTTTGTGTCAGGTCCATTGATTGTTTTCATAAAATTTTGTTTCTTTTTAATATGCTAAAAAGATTCTTAATTCGTTGATGTTTGTTTATTTTTTTTTTTCTTAAACTTTAACGAATTCATAAAAGATTTTGTTTTTATTTTAATATGCTTCGCAGGAAGCTGCATGAGCAGTATAGTCCATTTAGAGAGTACCAGTTATAATTACAAACCATAAATACGACAAATAAAGAACCAAATAATTCGTCCGTCATTTCTATATAGATGTGTAGTATCTACCAAATCCTCACACACTACTATTCGCCAGCTAAAAATTGCACAAAGCCAGGCTCTGAGAAGACTTTTCAAGGTACTATGGTACGTTGACATCCTCAAGGACTTCAAGATTGATCCGATCAAAAAATACATAGAGGATAGACCGCTGAAATTATTTCGAAAACTAATAGAATTACCAATACCGCATCACCAAATATCAGAATAATTAGAGGCTCCTCTATTGCACAAATCCAGGCTCTGAGAAGACTTTTCAAGGTACTATGGTACGTTGACATCCTCAGGGACTTCAAGATTGATCCGATCAAAAAATACATAGAGGATAGACCCCTGAAATTATTTATGAAAACTAATAGAATTACCAATACCGCATTACCAAATCTCAGAATAATTAGGGGCTCCTCGGGGAGGTATGCAGATCTGAGGTCAATTATTACTTAGTCTGATGAAGTGATAAACAATAATCCAGTCAAGACGTATAAAAGGGTTTGGAAGAAATTTCGCCGTTAATGGAAAGTAAATATGCTCAAGTGCACTGAGTCAACTGGCTTTAACATAATAATAGTAATATTAAAAAATACGAACATTAAACTTATTTCAACAGGAATTGAATAATAGAAATAAATAGCAGACATTGCTCTAATCTTACCTCAGTAACCAGATTAATTATGGCATGGCCTATATAGTCCAATTCTAGAACTTCGGACCTAATCATTAGGAAATAAACAGTAGTGTCTAAGAAAGAAAGAACGATATCAAAAAAGATATCACTGTTCAAGCTTACTGAGATCGAGGCTTAAATCTTATAAACACCCCATTTTTGAACTCTCTCCACAACATCTTCAATATAGAAACCCGAGAAATACTTTCATTCATCTATGTATGCAGTACATTGTAAAACTCTAATCTTAATAGTTGGATTACTGATTTCTTTAATGATTGTTATAATCAGAAATTTACTGGGTGTACATCTGACTCACTACATAGAACACTGATTCCCAACCGGTGGTTCACGGATCATAGGTAGTCCGCGAAAAGGTTGAAAATGGTTCCAGAATCAAATTTAACAGATATGGATACATAACTTGTAATTTAGCCACTGAGATTTCACTGAAAATAAGCATAATTTTTCAAGTAATTTTATATCTACTTTATAGTCTATATAATATACCTATGTACTTATACATACAATTTATTATACATTATATCAGAGATGCATAAAGCATATTGAAATAATCATAGAGTTTATTATTTTTAAATTTTGTGCCCCCTATTAAAAACAAATATATCATAATGGTCTTTGGTCAAACAAAGGTTGGGAACCATTGATTAAGAGAGAGATTTTTTGATAATTTTAATTATTTAAAAGATCTGTACCTTATTAAATAGTCATATTCATTAATAATAAATCTACATTTACATACAGTTTTTTTAATTCATTTAGGGGAGAATACTTCAACCGCTGGCAACAAGTTTGGTATCACGATTCTTTAAAAACAATATTCTTGTGTATAAATATTGTCTTTCGATCAATCCTATGTGCTTGATAGAAGCTTATTAAAAATAGATCAATTCGAGATCACTTAAGTAAAGTTAACATATCTCTTCAAAGTTATAAGCTGTTAAATGATATGATATCAAATGATATTCTAAGGACGCACAATGAAATTTGGTAAATTTTGAATATAGCAAAGATTTAGGTTTAATTATCAATATTGTTTATGAAATTGTTTATTTAAATATATAAACGTTGCTTAGACTTGCATGATATTTAGTGACTCAACTTATATTAACAAAACCATTTATTTAAGTATCTAAACTTCTCTTTAACTTCCATTAGTTTTGGAGTATCAACTTCAAACTGTTGTTGGTCTAACCAAACTGAATTAGCTCCTAACGGAAATTAATTATCATAGAAAATTTCAACTCGATTTTTAAATATTCGAAATTAGTTAAAATATTTAAACTTAAATACACAATTGGCTGCAATAGCATTGAAGGCAATTTGTTTTCTTTTTAATGGTTAAATTATGCAAGTCTAAGAAACATTCACTTTTTAAACTGAGTTTCATTCATAAATTTTCGACAGTCACATTCACTTTTTTCCTTGCTCGCACCCAAATGGTGCGACGAATGCATACAAGGAGTTCGAAGTCTGCTGCAACAAATCGGGGCAACTACAAATTCATTGCAATCATTTCAACGCCTTGGAAACTTCATTGTCGTCGGTTGTTGGCTGCATAAACTTTTTAATAAGTTTTACGATTTGAATTGAGTTTGGGAACACAATGAAATGCAAAGAAACGCTTGAGCACTTGCCGCATTGTTGTGCTTTGCCTGGATGAGTTTGCCATTTCTAAGCAAAGTTTGCCCCACGTCCAAGTTCGTCCGTCCATCCGTCTGTCTGTATATATATATATGTCTGTCTGTCTGCAGCTAATAACGATGCAAATTTACAGAAACAAAAGTAAAAAGTTCGCTTCTTGTTACATTAATAAAAAGGAATACCACTTCTACTTGAGAACTCTGCTGCTCGCAGTCGCTTCTGGAAGTTATTTGGAGTCTGCGAACCCTTCCAACTCTGCTCGCTAAGTGCAAAAGTGTTGCTACTGAAACTGAGATACTTTTGCGTGCTGATACGCGTTTTGCCGAAGTCAGTGTTTCGAAAATCTTTTCAATTGTTTCGTTCTGATTTTTACTGCACTTAATGAAATCTTTTGTCAACTTTGCTTTCAGTACGACATCCACTCAGAGACTCAATGTTGACACAGCAGCTGAGCTGGGCTCGATGTGATGTGATGTGATTTCATTGTTTGTTGGCTCTACAACTTCCTCCATTGTCGATTTGTAAATTTATGAAAATAAAGTCTTTCGGTTTATATAAAAATAAGTGAATGAATTCTTACACTGAAAGTACCATTAAAAAGTTTTTGAATATACGAAAAAATACTTATATCTGAGCAAAATTAATTTAATGGATTTTTTTCTCTAATGCTTTTATATCCATTCAAGGAATAATATTGTTGCAGTGGAAGTTTACAAGTAAAAAAAATTCAAAAGAACTTGTTTTTTAAGGAAATAGAATATTCTTTACATCTTAAGTATTTAATAAAGTATTGAATAGAAAATTACAAGACTTTTGGGTATTTATTTCATCTATTTTAAATATTAGAATAAAACTCAACAATTAGTTTTTTTCTCTGTGATAGGAAAAGAGCAGTGATGTACCAAAAATGCAGTGCTTTAAAAAATATATGTGTTCTTCCTTTAAATCAATTTTGTCAATACAATACTAACAAAATAAATATAATGACTTTGTATCACTAAGATCACTTCGGAACCATTTAATTCATATCAATAGAACGACTACCAGCTCACTGGTTTTTTTATATGTTCTTGTTCCCTGCTCCCTGTTGAATATGTAAAACACAAATACAAGCATTTGATTTCCATTACATTAACAGCCAATCTTAAAACAGTTACCAAAATTTAATACTAATATTCAATTTAATATCAAAGAGATACCTTGCATTGAGAAGAAAGCATATTAAAACTCACACGGGATTTCTGGTTTAGCTATCCTCTCAACAAAATATACTCCTCACAAGCTTCATAAAATAGATATTATATCATCTGAACATATTCTTTGAAAATATCCAAAACAAAGCAGAAGTAGATCCATCCATACTGGAAACAGATTCGTTATTCCACATAATAAATGGAGCAAAACAAACCATTTTGGTAGTTTAAGCTTACTTAAATCCCAATGATTAATTAAGAAAGCCGGGATTAGCACAAAGGGTCTTAATTATCGCACATACTATTTACCATATAATTTACTATAACAATAAAGTCATGCAATAAATGCATTTTATATCTTTCTAATAATCATATGGTATGTATATGCCAAAATATACAGAAAATATACGATTTTAAACAAAAAATCCGGACCCTGATCCTAAACAAAATACATGTTTGAGGTTACGAGTTAACGAGAGAAACATCTTGTAAACTAAGAGGAAATAAATAAAGTTAGTATAGTTTAATAATTATAGTGGTAAACAACGCGTTAAACTAACTCTGCATATATTTGTTTATATAGATATGTTTATTGATTTAACTACTGCTTACTCTCATAACTAAATTAGTGAACTATAAACAAATTTTGACAAAAAGTATTTCTAGATATATCTCCCCGCTCCGCCTCTTTAACCTCTTTTTTTACAATATTTTTACTGTCATTATGATTACTGTAGTAAACTGTAAAAAAATTCAAGTATGTCTATAACATAGATAGACTATAATACTAAATAGATGTGTACTGGATATACAGTACATCTATCTAGTATCAGATAGTACATATCCAGTATATCTATAAATATTTTCTGGCTTATATCATCCCTCTTGGCATTATTCCTTGTACTCCACTGACTCTAAATGTTGAATAAAAATTTTACACTCACCCCTTTGCATGGTCTTTCGTCTGACAAAAGTCGAACAGCTCCTCGTCCCAAAGCTTCACGTTTTCTTTGCGCCGAAAATATACGCAACTCCTTGCGTTCTTCATCACTCAAAGAATGACAGTAGCGTACCTATGGAGCATATTCGAAGGAAAATTGAAATGAAAAGAAATGTAGTAAATTTTAATTAATGGCGGATACTTAAAATTACACAAGTATAAAAAAGGATGAGAAATAAAAATAAATTTTTAAACTTAAAGTAAAAGTTTTTTGGATTTCATTTCCACGTTTTCAAAAGAAAAAGTTTTCTTTTCAATTTCTATATTGCGATTATATTCTTTATATACTTTAGTACTTTTATTCCTTTTCCTTATTCCTTTTTGGTAGGAAAAGAAAACTTCTTTTTTTGGACTTGAACTGAAGTGCATATTTCTTTCTTCCAACTTCAGTTATTGTTACTTACTTCGTTATCTTGCGGCGGTAGTTGGTGCAGCAATTGTTTAACGCGGTAGTTTTCACCAGCACTGTTGACATAGGGCACCTTATCATCTGGCAGTTGAGAGAAATACAAACGAACCTGCAAGAGCAGAGAATAGAAGAAATATTTGTTAAATTGGTACGCTCCAATAACAAAGACTAGCTTAGCAATGCAATTTTTCAATAGGTTTGAATGGCGTCTACTATGAGTGGCGTCCACTGAATAAAAATTAAGTAGCAACAAAGAAATTCTACAACATTTTCTAAATAAATGTAAATAGTCTACATTATACTCAATACCCGGAAGGAGGGGAGTATTATACATGTAACCTCTTAAGGATTTAGGAAGCCTTTTGACGCAGTTTGTAGCGCATTTGTGTTCAAAGTATTTGGCGGCGCCACCCTTTTTCCAGCTACTTCACAAGTTAACAAATTATGTGTACGCTAACTGGTAACAAAAGTGAATTTTACTGAAATCATAAATAAAAAATACTTTCACTTTCCAAACCGAAGTGGCAGTGCTTCTGGCCAATTTCATTTTGACTTAATGGTGCGCCATATTTCAATGGTCGTCGTCGTCATAGTCATCGTCGTCGTCGTAACTTAAATAACTCGCATGACCAATGGATACAGCGTTTTCCATTTGTTTTCCTGTATGCCGTAATCATGCTGAGTTTCGATTACAGTTCGATGAGATTCGATGCAATTCGATACGCCTTGCAGCCATTCATTGCCAATATTGGTACCATTTTGTTAGTTAAATTTTAGAGAGACAGACATTTCTAGGAAAAGTGGTGGAGTGCAGCAGAAAGTGTTATTAATTGAGGTTGTTTGCAGTTTGGAAAAATGTCGTTTAAATTGGAGATAAAAAGTATTGATAGTAGTGAAAAAAATGAGGTTTGCTATGCTGAAACATTTGCTAGGGGACGCCTCTTAGTTTTCTTAAAATCACATTAACTAGGAGTCGTCTACCGTTTCCGCCTTTTGAGCCGTGCAAGTGAGAAGATTAAATAGATTTAAATACAAGCGACTTAAAAGCAATAATTTTCAATCTTAGTTTTTACTGATTTAAATTAAAGCAAATGACTTATAAGTCGATAAATGGACTTTTATAAGCATCGAAGCCGCGACACCTTTTCACTTTCTTCAAGTAAAAATTTTTTTACATTTTCATAACTTTTTATATGTACACTAAAATTGTTATTAATCTCTCCGAACTTAATTACATTTTAATTTAAATGGGCGCTATTTGCCACTAGTTTTGACTTTTAACTCAGACGGTACCACTGGAAAAAACTGTATTTTTGTTTTGCTAATGAACGGAAATATTTGCACGATCCATGAAAATGCAGGCAAAAATATTGCAAAACGTAATAAAATGTATTATCCAATAAAAGTGAAATTCAGCCAATGGGTATCGCTTGTAGTTACAGCAAAAGCTATGAAAACAGCAAATTATCAGATACTCAACAAAAAAAAGTATCTGAGCCTTATGCATGCGCATAAAACTTTCATTTTATTTTCAAAAAAAAATCCAAAAGTTGACTAAAATTCATCAATTGCCTGCCAGCAATCAAAGCTGCATTCCGAAACGTATTAAAACGATGGACGAACATATGTCCATATGAATGTACAGGCACAGATTTTTTGTTAGATAACCCAGCATGTGTCCAAGCAAAAATGTTTTGAATCTAATTTCGTGTCTAAAAAAACTAATGCGAATGAGGTAAATAAAACAAAACTCAAAAGATTTTCTAAAAATAGAGATAAAATTTATGCAAAAATATTATGGACTTTTTTGAAAGCTAAATTGAGTACCTTGATCTGCTAATACGAGGCAATTACTGAAACAATCTTCCTAAAAAATAAACAACGTGATCTACTTAAGTTATACAGGTTTCCACATAGACTGCTGCTTATATATTGGAAAAATACAATAAACTATATAGGGTTTTAAATAGACTGCTACTTATGTATTGGATGGAGTCAATAGTAGGGTTGTGATGAACATTGAATATAGAAGATGATAGACTTTGGTATTATTCTTACCATACTTGTTAAGAAAAATATATCATAAAAATGAAAAAAAATATATTATATATCTTGATACGAAAATTGCAGTATAATCAACAAATTACATTGATCTACAATGCAGCCCATTTTTAGCAAAGTTCATCTAAGCGACATTCATTTACTTCTGGCGGATAGGCATTAACTATAACAATTCCTTTGTTAGTTTGTAGACTAATTTAAAGTGAGAAGTACTAATACTATCAAATCGCTGGGAATCTAATTAGGACATCACACCTTCATGATATACCACTATGACAAGAATATATAATTTATTGCAAAAGCATTGGGATATAATCAAAGTATATTTCGGTTAAGTCCCCTTCAAAATAAGGTAGCAAAAAATGTGTGCACTGAACATTTAATCAAAATTTAATAAAATATTTATTAACTGAACATACCTGATCTGGCCTTAGTCCTGGTGGTACCCAAGTGTATTCTTCAAGTGCGCAACCACTATCATCATCTGACTGCGAGTTACGTTGGAAATCCAGTTGCTGATGATGACTGTGAAGATATGCTGCCGTTTTGTAACTGGCAGTACGCAGTGGTGATGAAATTGAACTCAGCGGCAAATTCGGTGGCGGCTGACAACGACGTTGTGGCGGTGGTACAAAATGTGCAGGTGTGGTGCTATTGCTACCGCCACCATTACTGCTGTTCGAATGCGGTTCTAAGTTACTTGTTACTATCGGTGTGGGTGTGGCGATTGATGAAGTTGGAGTTGAATGATCGTTGCTTGTGCTGTGTTGTAGACTTTGTGCGTGTAGTTGCTGTAAGGATTCGGCTTGCAATTGATAAGCTGGCAAGTGTATTCCAGACGCTTCCAATTGTAAAAGTTCACTCTCAGTTTGCGTGTAATAATTGATTGGTTGTTGCATTATGACTTCGTCTAAAAGTTCCTGATGGGTTCTTACTTTAGTGTTTGAGAGTGAAGTAATTGAGAAACTGTAACAAAACAAATATACAGAAATTCAATAAATAATTTTTTAATATGGATTTTTTTTATAAAAATTTAATTTATAACATATATATTTCTAACATTTATTGAACGTTTTTTTTTATATCTAGACTTAGAAAAAATTAAAACTCATTAATGAATAATATATTTGAAGTCTATGTACCATAATTCTATAATAATACGAATAGTTTCTTTTTATCTGAAAAGATTATCAAGTTTAAGCTTCTGTACTAACTTTACTGTGGGTCAATTTAATTCAAGCAAACATCTATTAATATTGAAGTATATAGAATACTTCTACCTTTGAGCGTGAAATTGTGAGAAAAATCTTCGCATAAGATACAATTATGAGCTGAATCAGATGATGGGAAAGGGATCAGGTTCATAAAGGTTCAGTATATGTGAAAGCTGGTACATATACTTCGCCACCGGAGGATGCAATTATAAACACATAATGTCCCAACAAAGTTATGATGAAAGAAAACTTGGATGATATACTGTTTGATGTGTTATTTGGGTTGGAACTAAATCACAATGACTGAAATTTTTTTAAAAATGATAATACAAGTCATCAGCTACAGCAACTTTGGTTTTGACATGAATTTGATGATAATGAGAATCTGCATTTCAACAGGATGATGCCACTTGTTGCAGAACATGTTCTCTTTGGCTTTGTTACACGAGAAATTTCTAAGTTAGATGATGTGATCGACTACCAAGATCAAGTGATTTATCACCATCAACTCAAAAACTCTCGATGCTTTGAAAATGGAAACACTATTCGAAAATTATCTAAAAAGGATCCAGCATTGTAAGATATCGCGAGAGGAGGGTTTCTAAATAACGGTGTAAATTATAGAAACATAGACTAGATGGCATGAATACAAAGTATTGATAGTGCACATTTAGTTTTTGTAGACAATTTGTTTGAAAGCCTAAGGTAGACATTTTGTCGCTTTGTATAATTTGATTATGACGTCATACTTCAGTTCAAGTTCTCGTAGAATACATGTGAGTACTTAACGTATTTCCTTAGTTTAGCTATTGGAGCACTTTACTAGTATGCATAGCTATTACACAATTTCTGCACTTGTCATGATTTATACTAAATTTTCTTAGTTTATAATTTCTCAGGGAATTAACAAATTTTTTGAAACCATATCAAGTACATGTGCTTATCTCTTCATGCATGAGTTGAGCTTCCTGTTTTTTTTAAATTTAAAGTAAAGAAAAGTTCAAAGTAATTATTTTAGCTACGCAGCTTATCTACAAATTTCAGTTTAGTTTACAAATCGTTTTTTAAGCCGCACTCGAAGATAAAAACTATATTTAAAGCTCTACTTTAATTCAACACAAATTAAGTCAAATTTGCACGATTTCATGGGTATTCTGTAGATTCTTCCCACATAAATCTACATTTGTAGAACTCTTCACTCCTTCGCAGCGGAGTACGCGAGGAGTCAGAGAAATAAAAATAGCAAATTGCACTTCATTGCATGCACTTTTCCATAAAATGGCAATTTGCTAAACTTTGTTTTGCCGCTTTTATGCTGACTTCATGCCAAATTATATGCAATCCACTAAAGATTAATGCATCAGCAAGTTAATAGGCAGAAATGCGGATATGTACCAGTACGAGCTGCGACGGATTCTCATAAATGTGCAAAAGCTTTTCTAGGAAAATTTGTGCTAGAATTTGCATTTGCTGCATGATTTCCAAGTTTTCTTAATTTACTGGCTACTCTTTTTTAGCAGTGCTCTTTCTTCGCTAATGAAAACGTACTAATTTCAGCAATTTTTCTGCATATTTTTTATGCACCTAACGATCTTATGATAAACGGCAAAATAATCTAGACGCTATGAAAATTCTTGAATCCATGAAGATTTATTCTTCTTTTTGCTTCGTTGCTTTATGATTTTTTGATTGCAACTGTTGCACATGCGTGCACATCTTCAATTGTGCTTTGAGTCCCAACCAGAGTCACTCAGTCAACCGGTCAGTTAGTTAATATATTCATTTGGCCAAGTGAAGCTAGTGTGCTAGTGAAGCTAACACTTGATGTATGGCTGGCAATTGGCTTAACTGATAAGCTCGACTCGTATCGAAGCCATGCTTACTTACTTTCTCTCTGAAGCGATGCTGCCGCTTCAGCAATTATGCAGCGAAGCATTAACATTAAGCATCTTTTTGTGCTGCCTGAGCGTTGAAAGATACTTATTCATGGTTCGTTCAGGTGCCATGCCCACAAATTTGTTTTCTATTTTTTTATGACGTTGTAAACACACAAATTATCGAATTACTTTTCATACATAAAACCACACTTACACTCGTAATATACACAATATCTTTAATATATTCCCATTCATCGTTTTTGATAGTTTAATTTTAATAATTGCACATATTTTGTGTCTTCAAATCTTTCACTTTTACTTTTCCATATATTCAAATTTTACATCAATCAAATATTAACGATTATAAATTTAAATATTCAAAAAAAATACAAAATACTAAACCCAAGCAAGCAAGTATCTGAATCATTCGCTTAGCGTGCCAAAACAAATTAAAATTATTAGTTTTAATCGCAGAAGCGTTTTGCAGACCTCACCTCTAACACAACCGATTAAAATAAGCTGAGACTAATTATATTTAATATTTTGACTTTAATAACAGTTAATTTAACAGTAGCATAAAATGTTACTTTTTGATGCTGTTGTGCCTCCACTCTTTGTACTGCAGAGATACTAAATCTGATCTCATGTACGAGTATCTCAACTAAATAAATAAAAAAAGATTACGTGAAGGAGAATTTATACTGTTTTGTGTAATCATTTTTTAGTAAAACATAAATTTTGCAAATTTGCAAAAATATAAAATAAACTTATAATTGTTATATTAATTGCATATTACCGACTAAATATTATCTCTGAATATTTTGTAAAATTTAGTATTTCAATATTCTTACTATAAAGTTAAAACTTAACTTTACACTAAAATATAGTTATAAAGAATTTTTTTGCGGTTAGCATATAATTAAAATTTCTTATGAATTTTTTCGTTTAATACATATTAATTGATTTTTTCGTGAACATAACAAAACTAATAATTATTATAAGAGAATAACGAAAATATTAAAACATAAAAGAAAATGCTTCATACTACTTCGGCTAATTGACTTCAATTATGAGAATCATTTCTACTTTAATCTACTCATGTGTAAAAAGTACTCACCGCTATGATTAGTAATTATCTACAAACACTAAAGTATTTGGTCTCCAAATAAGCCTAGAAAGAAGAATGCCAACTTCTTAATTAGGTTAGGTTGCAAAAACACTAAGTACACGATCCGCAAGTTTATTGAAACCTAAAGATCTTTCTATCCAATCTAGGCTAAAGGCATCTAATGACCTCATAGTGTCCGTGATAAGTA